CAATAAAAAGCTAAACAAAGAAATCTTAGATTTAAACTTAACCATTCAACATTTGGATTTAACAGACATCTATAGAACATTTCATCCTAACAAAACTGAATACACATTCTTCTCATCAGCCCATGGAACGTACTCCAAAATTGACCACATCTTAGGTCACAAATCTAACCTCAGCAATTTTAAAAGAACAGAAATTATTCCTTGCATCTTCCTGGACCATCATGGAATAAAAGTTGAACTCAGTAACAAGAAGAATCTGCATACTCATACAAAAGCATGGAAGCTAAATAACCTTATGCTGAATGATAGCTGGGTCATAGACAAGATTAAGAAGGAAATTACCAAATTTTGGAACAAAATGATAATGAAGACATGAATTATCAGAACCTCTGGGATACTGCAAAGGCAGTCCTAAGAGGGAAATTTATAGCACTGTAAGCCTTCTGCAAGAGAACGGAAAGAGAGGAAGTTAACAACTTAATGAGACATCTTAAGCAACTGGAAAAGGAAGAACATTCCAATCCCAAACCTAGCACAAGAAAAGAAATAACTAAAATTAGAGCAGAATTAAATGAAATTGAAAACAAAAGGATTATACAACAGATCAATAAATCCAAAAGTTTGTTTTTTGAAAAGGTCAATAAAATAGATAAACCTTTGGCTAATCTAACCAGGAAAAAAAGAGTAAAATCTCTTAATTTTACCAATCAGAAGTAGTAAAGACGAAATAACAACAGACCCCTCAGAAATTCAAAAAGTCCTTAATGAATATTATAAGAAACTGTATTCTTAGAAATATGAAAATCTGAAGGAAATTTACCAATATTTGGAAGCATGCCACCTTCTAAGACTTAGCCAAAATGAAGTGGAAATGCTGAACAGGCTTTTCTCTGAAATAGCATCAACTATACAAAATTCCCCTAAAAAGAAAAGCCCGGGACCAGATAGCTTCACGTCAGAATTTCACCAAACCTTTAAAGAGGAACTGGTGCCTATATTATTCAACCTTTTCCAAAATATAGAAAAAGAAGGAATGTTACCCAACACAGTCTATGAAGCAAACATCACCTTGATCCCCAAACTAGGAAATGACCCAACAAGAAAACAAAATTACAGACCAATATCACTAATGAATATTGATGCAAAAATATTCAACAAGATCCTAACAAACAGAATCCAGCAACACATCAAACAAATTATATACCATGACCAAGTGGGTTTTATCTCAGGGTCTCAAGGCTGGTTCAGTATACATGAATCTATAAATATAATTCAGCACATAAACAAATTAAAAAACAAAGACCATATGATTCTCTCAATTGATGCAGAAAAATGTTTTGATAATATTCAGCATCCCTTCATGATCAGAACACTTAAGAAAATTGGTATAGAAGGGACATTTCTTAAACTGATAGAGGCCATCTGTAGCAAACCCACAGCCAACATCCTATTGAATAGAGTTAAATTGAAATCATTTCAACTCAGATCAGGAGCCAGGCAAGGTTGCTCATTGTCTCCACTGCTCTTTAACATTGTAATGGAAGTTTTAGCCATCGCAATTAGGGAAGAAAAGGTAATTAAGGGCATCCATATAGGGTCAGAAGAGATCAAACTTTCACTCTTTGCAGATGATATGATTGTATATCTGGAAAACACCAGGGATTCTACTACAAAACTCTTAGAAGTGATCAAGGAATACAGCAGCGTCTCAGGGTACAAAATCAACACTCATAAATTGGTAGCCTTTATATATACCAACAATAGTCAAGCTGAAAAAAAAAGTCAAGGACTCTATTCCATTCACGGTAGTGCCAAAGAAGATAAAATATTTGGGAGTTTATCTAACAAAGGATGTGAAAAAAATCTCTGTAAAGAGAACTATGAAACTCTTAAGAAATAGCTGAAAATGTTCACAAATGGAAAAATGTACCATGCTTATGGCTGGCAAGAATCAACATTGTTAAAATGTTTATACTACCCAAAGCAACATACAATTTTAATGCAATCCCTATTAAAGCTCCACTGTCATACTTTTAAGATCTCGAAAAAATACTTTGTTTTATATGGGATCAGAAAAAACTTCAAATAGCCAAGACATTACTCAGAAATAAAAACAAAGCAGGAGGAATCACACTACCAGACCTCAGGGTATACTATAAATTGATAGTGATCAAAACAGCATGGAACTGGCACAAAAACAGAGAGGTAGATGCATGGAACAGAATTGAGAACCAAGAAATGAACCCAGCTACTTACCGTTATTTGATCTTTGACAAGCCGATTAAAAACATTCAGTGGGGAAAAGATTCCCTATTTAACAAATGGTGTTGGGTGAACTGGCTGGCGACCTGTAGAAGACTGAAACTGGACCTACACCTTTCACCATTAATTAAGATAGACTCTTACTGGATTAAAGATTTAAACTTAAGATGTGAAACTATAAAAATACTAGAAGAAACTACAGGGAAAACTCTTGAGGAAACTGGCCTGGGTGAATATTTTATGAGGAGGTCCCTCCAGACAATTAAAGCAGCATCAGAAATATACTACTGGGACCTGATCAACCTAAAAAGCTTCTGCGCAGCCAAGAACATAGTAAGGAAAGCAAGCAGACAGCCCTCAGAATGGGAGAAGATATTTGCAGGTTATGTCTCCAACAAAGGTTTCATAACCAGAATCCACAGAGAACTCAAACGTATTAGCAAGAAAAGAACAAGTGATCCCATCTCAGGGTGGGCAAGGGACTTGAAGAGAAATTTCTCTGAAGAAGGCAGGCCATGGCCTACAGACATATGAAAAAATGCTCATCCTTAATCATCAGAGGAATGCAAATCAAAACTACTTTGAGATATCATCTGACTCCAGTAAGATTAGCCCATATCACAAAATCCCAAAACCAGAGATGTTGGCATGGATGTGGAGGAGAGGGAACACTTCTACACTGCTGGTGGGAATGCAAACTAATACATTGCTTTTGGAAAGACGTTCGGAGAACACTTAGAGAACTAAAATTAGACCTGCCATTTGATCCTATAGTTCCTCTATTAGGTATTTATGCAGAAGACCAAAAATCACATTATAACAAAGATATTTGTACCAGAATGTTTATTGCAGCACAATTCATAATTGCTAAGTCATGGAAGAAGCCCAAGGGCCCATCGACCCACAAATGGATCAAGAAATTGTTGTGTATGTATGCCATGGAATATTATGCAGCCTTAAAGAAAGATGGAGACTTTACTTCTTTTATGTTTATACGGATGGAGCTAGAACATATTCTTAGCAAAGTATCTCAAGAATGGAAGAAAAAGTATCCAATGTACTCAGTCCTACTATGAAACTAATTTATAGCTTTCATATGAAAGCTATAACCCAATTATAGCCCAAGAATATGGGGAAAGGGAGGGGAGGGGAGGGGGCAGGATGGGTGGAGGGAGGGTAATTGTTGGGACCACAGCAAAAATCTTACAAGGGTAAGATTATATAAATGTCTTAACACAATAACTTAAGAAAGCTATTGCCATGAAGGCTATGTTAACCAGTTTGATAAAAATATTTCAAATTGTATATAAAACTAGCACATTATACCCCATGACTATATTAATATATACAGCGGTGATTTAATTTTTTAAAAAAAGGGGAAAAATATAGTTGAGTTTTATGTATGGATTTTATATCCTACAACTTTGCTGAATTGTTAGCACAGACTCTGTGTCTCTATGTGTGTTTTTGTGTATATCTATGTGTGTATGTCTGGGTTTCTGTCTCTGTGTGTGTCTGTATATCTGTCTTCCTTAGGGTATTCTACTTACAGGATCATGTCATCTGCAAATAGCAATAGTTTTACTTCTTCCTTTCCCAGTTGTATAGTCTGTTTCTTTTTCTTGCTTTCTCTGGCTAAACTGCCCAACACAGAGTTGGAGGTGTGGTGAGAGCAGATGCTCTTGTCTTGTTCCTGACTAGGGCAGGCCTCAGTGTCTCACCACCCTAAGTGTGACAGTAACTGTGGGATTTTTGTAAATGCTCTTTATCAGAGTAAGGAGGTTTTCTTTTATTTTTAGGTTGAGTAGTTTTATCTCAGAGGGTATTGACTTTTTGTCCATCTGTTGAGATGATCATGCACATTTTGTCCTCTATTCTGTCAACATGGTGTGTTATATTGAACCGTTCTTACAACCCTGAGGTAAATCCACTTGGTCATAAAAATGGCTCAGTTTACTAGTGTTTTTGTGAAGAATTTGCATTTGTATTCATAAGGAATATCAGTGTGTAATTTTGTGATATTTTTATCTGGCTTAAGTACCAGGGCAATGTTGGCCTCATAGAATGACCTAGGAAATGTTCCTTCCTCTTCTGTTTTTGGAAGAGTTTAAGCAGGATTGGTGCTAATTCTCTAAACATTCGGTGAAATTCACCAGGGAAGCCATGTGGTCTCAGGCTTTTCTTTGTGGGAAGGTTCTTGACTCTTTGGATCTGTGACTCATTAGAGATCAGGTCAGATTTCTGTTTCTTCTGGAATCAGTTTTGTGGTCTATGTCTTTGCAGAAGTCTGTGTGTCTCCTCTGAGCTATGAGGTCTCTCTATGTATGTGTGTCTGTGGGTTTATGTCCTTTTATGCTGTTGTGGATTCTTCTCCTTATGACTGAAAATGGCTTGTTACCCACATCCTTTTATGCTGTTATGGGCTCTTCGCATGATTCAAAGTGGATAGTTTATTGTCAGGAGCAGGGTCAGGGCAGAGGGGATGGGCGGGGGGGTGTTCCTCCCTATCTGAGTACCAGTGGCGCCATGCCTGTGGGGGCTGCACTTACTGCCCTTTATCTGTCAGCCGTGGGCTGGACACCACTGGCCCAGCTGCAGAGTCCCCTGAGCCCTGGTCCTGTGGAGAAGGGATATGCAGCTCCATCGTCTCTTTTTGAATGACACTGTGGGAAGTAGACTGCAGATTGTGTGCAGCAAGCTGCTCTTCTCTGCTGACTGTCAGTGCTCATTGCTTCTAGGTTTTTACCTCACATGGCCCCACAGTGGTCATGCCTACCTGGTTCTGCTCTCGAGCATGGTTTTCCTACGTGGGAACGTTTGACGAGGGAGGTCAGGTAAGTGCCAAGACACAGGAATTGGGTGTCTTTCAGGTCCCTCCCTCCAGGGTGGGCACGCTATTGCTGTCATCTGTTTGTGGGTTTCTCACACAACCCCTGCCCTCAGCTCTGATGCACCTCCCAGGCTCTGAGGATCAGGAAGTTACCTTCTGTGAAGGTCTTCTCAGCCTCCTCCTGCTGTGCTGGCAAGCCTCTGGCGGGAAGCAGGGGATTTCTGTACTAGTACCGGCACATACCTGGTGACACCTCCCTGTTTGGGGGTCTAGGTCACCTTGTTCTGGTTTAAAAGCCACATGTGGGGTAGCACAGGGTGTGAGCAGTACCAGCCAGGCCACAGCAGTCTGTCTGTTGTGGTCCTGAAACTTCCTCTGGATTTTCACCTACCTGTTGAGCCCAGGGGTCTGGGCACAAGGCTCCTGGGGCGGGGGCAAGGAAGGCTCAGGCCTAGCCTATACCTCCTGCGCTTGTGACCCCAAATCTGTCTTTCTCGCCCTAAGCCTTTGTTTCTTTATCTGGACAATGGGGTCACCACTTGGTCCCTGCTGCCCCCTCCCTGGTTCCTCCTGCCTCGCAGGGAGGGGAGGCCAGCTTCTGCACTGCCCCTGACTCATATAGTGGCCAGAATAGTCTTCCATGGTTACCCTGACCTCAGAGGGCAGCTCCACTGCACGGCTATACTGTTCTGCCTATCCCAGGGCCACAGCTATTCCTGGAATCTCCCCCAAAGTGAGATAAGCAAGCCACACTCATAAGTCCCCAAATCGGCTTCACATGCTGTGGCCCTATCTGCAGCCCAGGATACTGGCCCTCTGCGCACCAGAGCCTCCACCATGTCCACCCGAAGCATGTGCATCCCTTCCCATGCCAGGTTGCTCAGCAGGTGCACCCCTGGAACAGAGGGGCAGGAGGAGCCTGGGCGGGGCTGGGCCCCACCATGCTCTTCTGGCCCGTGGGTAAGACATGCCCCTCACCTCTCTGTGGACACAGAGCTACCCATCTTGCAAGATGGGCAGACTTTTAGTTGGGAAAATGCATTCATCACTGCCCTGCTGTGACTCTGGAGTTTGAACTTGATGGGCCTGATGTGGACAGCCAGGCAGTGGGGGCTGCTTCTCCCTTTCTCTGCCCCTGTTTCTCTGCCAACAGCAGACCCAGGGCTCAGCCCTCTTTGGGCTCCTTTTCGTCCTCATGATGGGTGCCCAGGACAAGGGTTGGAGGTCATGTGCCCACCTTCATCACTGCTCAGCTGCAGCAATTCCCCCCAAGTCACTGTTGTCTCCCCTTGGCCACCAGAGCTTCCTGTGTGATGAGGAAGACAGTGATGGGGAGGAAGAGGAAGATATACATGAAGACATCTGTGACCCAGAGGTCAAGGTGGCCAACTTGATGAGAGTGGAGTTACAGGTGCACGCTGGCACTGAGGCTGAATCAGGAGATAACCAAGAACGGAAACAGGTGTACTTAACCAGAAGCAGCCTGACACCACGGGAGCTGTGGTTTGTTGGCAAAGAAAAAGAAGTTGTGAGCGGCCGCAAAAGAAAGCTCTAGAGGAATTAAATAAACAACTAGAAAAAAAGAAATGGAAGACCGTAAAAAAAGAAAG